CTTCAATAATTGTGCAGCAAGTTATTCCCCAGATCTCAACACCATAACACAAAATAGAAGCGATCATAGTATCAAAAATGGTAAATAGTTCCTTGCACGGTATATCCCCAACTGTCTTCTGATATCCGTTAATGGCCATCACAGCATTAGTGCTCTGCAGGGCTTGACAAGTTTGAGCCTGTGTCCAAATCAATTAAGGACTAAACGTCACACCAAGATATCTATAGAATGAAACAACCTCAATATTTCCACCTTTTTCTATGTCCATTTTTAAATGACCAACACTTTAGTTATTTTCAAATTTATTTTCATTCCAGTATTAGAGCCAAAAACTTCCAAAGCATTTATTTTCTTTTGTAGTCGTAAGATGGAGTCTGACACAAGGTAGAGAACACGAGCAAACATGATGACCCACGCATCTTAAAAATCCTTTGAAATATAAAAAATCTATTTCCCTCCATAATCTTCCAATATCTGTAAAAGTTTTTTTGTGTGAATATAATGAATGCTTGTGACCTCATAATACATCCTTGCCGTGTGCAAATGATGCATGGAAAGTAGCTCGCAAAACCATTTGTATTCCTCACACCGACACATTAGCTTGAGTAAATTGATGAAAGTATATTACAAAACATGCCACTTATTCCAACATCTTTCATGCTTGCAAACAATATATAATGTCTAATAGTGTCAAAGGCTTTCTACAAAAACAGTAGAATCGTCCCTTCTTTCTGCCTGTATATTTCTGTATCATAGCTAGTAGATTAAACTTATTATTGGTAGTGGGGAAAGTTGGGTCTGACTCCAGCCTGTACTTCGTCAATTACATTGTTATCTTCATAGAATAGCTGGAGTCTAGAGTTAAGAATAGAAGTAAATACTTTTAACTAAAAGTGAAAAAAGGAAGAAGAAGAAAAAGAAAGAAAAACAATATGATAACACATTTCTTCCGGACATCATTCATTTTCAGCGAAAAAACATATTTGTTTGGTAAATCCTAAAGATAATTTTTTTTCTCCATTTTTCTCTGGAAGAAATTGGTTTTTCAAAACAAAATCCCAGCTCCCTTCAAGTAGGGTATATATATATATTAATAGAACTATCAATGCATCGCAAATGTCAATGACACAATATATCGACAAGTACAAGAAATATCGATATGAATAGTTAACATCAAGCCTGTGCTACACTGTTAATAGAAAAAAATCGTTAATCATAAATCGTTCCTTAAGGGGTGATTCAAAATATATGGTAACCTTGTTTGAAAAGTGCAGTATTTATTCAGAAGAGTAAAATTAATTAGCTACCTTCTGTAATTCCTAAACAAATGCTTCTGAACCATGGCGATAAGAGACGAGTGAATATGTTGAATAATGCAGAGGGGTTTATATTATATGTAAGAATATAAACTATCCCAAACAAGTGCAACGCTATTGCAATAGCTTCACAACAGTAGTTTGAACTATTAATATCACTACAAAAGCAATAATGCCCCCATTTGTCGCCCTTGCCGTATATTTGTGGAATATTATTTTTGCATAGAGGGTTAAGTGAGTGTCTCTTTGACGTTTCTGGTGCCCCCCGCCGTGATATTACTGGAATAATTCAACCAACGCAGTAAAACTTCTGTTGTTTGGTTTATTTCACGTGATAGAGATACGATAACGGCACTAATGACAGTTAGGGCAGTAAAGATTGACCGAACTGTCGAAGCATAGAAATTGTCCATGACCCGATGGCAATACGTCATTGACATGTTGAAATAATAGTTAACATCGATGCCCTGCTTAACTATTGATATTATAGATAGACGCAGGAAAATGACATAGTGTCGTCATTTACTAGCCCATAAGTTGTAATCAAAATACACATGTCTTGAACCCGTGGGTGTCCTTTCAGTAAATGATATTTAACAAATTAATATCAGTCAATAGTTAGAGGTGCATCTCTTACTTCGGGGTCTTCGTAAGTCTTTAACAATGTCCAGAGGGATATGTTGACGCTAGGAGTACGGTTACGTGCCTGGCTGTGTGTTCATGTCGACTAATGTAAGAAGATCTAGTGCAATATTCAGAAAACTACCACAATACTATTGCAATGGGCGTGCCATATACGTTGGAAAAGTGTTTTAACTATCGCAATAAAAAATACACTAGAAATCCCTAATCACATGATTATAACAGCCACACAACAATTTCACAAAGTCTGGGGATAATTAAGGCTTCTAAGATTCACAGAGATAAAATCTCATTAATTGAAGGTAAACACGACATTTATATCACTTCACTGCAAAAACCTACACTGACCAATGAATGTGTGCCGTTTGATTGCATAACGATAATTACAGGTGTATACTGATTATCCAATTTACATAAGTTATCATCTAGTATATGACCCTGGCTCACTTGTCAACATTTATATTAACATGTCGTTCCGTGTGTAAAATTATGAATCACGGAGACAATGTCTGAACGTATAAAAAATATGAATCAATGTTTGTATCTGTGTAAAATTATGTATCACACGGAGACAATGTCTGTCCCTATGAAAAAAAATATGAATCAATGTCTGTCCCTGGGTGAAATTATAAATCACGGGCACAATGTCTGTCCCTACGAAAAATATATGAATCAATGTCCGTCCCTGTGTAGAATTATGAATCAAGGAGACAATGTCTGTCCCTATGAAAATATATTAATCAAAATCTTTCTTTATATCAAAATAAAATCACGGGGACATTGTCCGTCCTTGTGTACAGTTATGAATCACGGAGACCATATCTTTCCCTGGGTGAACTTATGAATCAATGTCTGTCCCCGTGTAAATTTATGAATCACGAAGACAATGTCCGTCAATGGGTGAAATTATGAATCACGGAGACAATGTCTGTCAATGGGTGAAATTATGAATCACGGAGACAAAATGTCTGTCCCTTTGTAAAATTATGCAACACGGAGACAATATCCGCTTGAGTGTATAATTATGAATTACGGAGACAGTGTCAGCTTGAGTGTATAATTATGAATCAAGGAGACAATGTGTTGTAAAAAAATGAATTACCATGACAACCCCCGTTCTTATGTTATCATAACAATGTAAAGAAATACATAGAGCTCCAGTAATCACCATATCAGTCCGAGATAGAGGCTTGCTGTCAGAGCCTCGGGCTGGGGCTCATTCACATAACTCGAGACAGTATAATCTAGTGAACTGACTGTGGCTCAGGATAGCTGAGCTGAATGTATTCCCAGAAGAAACGGTGCAACAGCCCCAGGGCACAGGATCTGAGAATAACATCAGCGAGGGAAGGCATCGCTTCTCACAACGATATCTCTGTCTGAAGTTCTACCTATAATACAACTACCCTAAACCTCGGGGAGACAAAGTCTTTACCAAACAGTTAATGTATGGCATGATTCGAAACGTTTCAGGAATATTTCCAGATTTGGTCTGCATTAGATTATATTTAGATCAGTTTTTAAAGCTTATGAAAACCTCTGTTTCGTCTAACATACATAATATTATACATTTTACCCAAATTTTGAAACGTTTGGAAATTGAATTCTTTTATTCAATGTTGGTGAAATGGTAGCATTTTACAGAGAGAAGAGTATAAATTGGTACAGATGTATTCCTTTGAATTGCAATTTTAGGACAGAGCACAGTCTCTCCTGGAAGAAGAGTATTCAATAGGGTAACAGTATTCCTTTGTAGCATACTATTTAGGATAGAGAATGGTATCCTTTGGAAGTATTGTTCTCAGCATAGCAAACGGTCCTCCCTGGAAGCATACTAGTCAGATCATCCGCTACAAGTCTACTGGCATTCAGTTTTGAGGGGTGTATTATGTGTTGAGAATGTACACCGCAAACATCACAACCGTCAGGTATAAAAGCCATTGTTTACGGAATAAACAAATAAATAAACAAATTTAGCTAATATGTTGGAAAATACACTCAAACATGGAATAAACAAATAAATAAACAAATTTAGCTAATATGTTGGAAAATACACTTAAACATACACTAATAAAAACTGTACATGAAACCGCTGTCCGGAAATATCAATATATATTACAATTATTAAGGACTATACAGATTAAGCCACTGTAAAGGTATTTACAGATACCACAACAAAAATGAAAACGCACAGATTTCACCACTATCGGGAAATATACAGATATCACAAATACAGACATCACCACAATCGGGTAATATACAGATGTCACAAATAATGACATCACCACAATCGGGCAAAATACAGATGTCACAAATACAGACATCATCACAATCGAGTTATATGCAGATGTCACAAATACAGACATCACCACAATCGGGTAATATACAGATGTCACAAATACAGACATCACCACAATCAGGTAATATACAGATGTCACAAATACGGACATCACCACAATCGGGTAATATACAGATGTCACATATACAGACATCACCACAATCAGGTAATATACAGATGTCACAAATACAGACATCACCACAATCGGGCAATATACAGATGGCACATATACAGACATCACCACAATCGGGTAATATACAGATGTCACAAATACAGACATCACCACAATCGGGTAATGTACAGATGTCACAAATACAGACATTACCACAATCGGGTAATATATAGATGTCACAAATACAATGGAATATGAAGATACAGCCACTATTGGGGAATATAATGGAACTCCTATTTCTAAGGAAGATCACGAACAAACGCGAGTATGACAATAGAAACACAAATAATCGAGTAACTGATAACATAGTTACTTTACTTTGAAGGACAAACTGGTAACTATATTATTTCATATATATTGTTATGGTTGCGAATCAGCAAATACCAGCTACAAAAACATGTAGGTGATTCATAGTCTAGGTGGGACACTGACACATTTATAAGCATCTAAGCTCAGACTTATTGATGCTATCCAGGACAAGCAGATCCTCGTTATCACAGACACATGGAGAAGACACAGTGTGTATACTTACGTATTGATACCATATGTTTGTCTTCAATATCTGGTTCTTTTCATCAACGTCGAGGATCTGGATGAGCGAGAGGCCGAAGAGGACGTGGATGCTGTCGGAGGTGTTGACAACCGGCCGCCCTTCCTTGCCCTGTTTCTTGTAGATGTCCAGTAGCTTCTTCACAAGCTGCTTCTCCTTCGAGGCGATCTTCACTGATTCCATGTCGGAGTTGGAGTCTGAAACAGAAGGGGTAGAAACAATACACTATGGTGTTCCTGAACCGACTTCATGGAGTCTGAATCAGAAGGGGTAAAAACAATACACAATGGTGTTCCTGAACCGACTTCATGGAGTCTGAATCCGAAGGGGTAAAAAGAAAATACACAATGGTGTTCCTGAACCGGCTTCATGGAGTCTGAAACAGAAGGGGTAAAAACAATACACAATGGTGTTCCTGAACCGTCTTCATGGAGTCTGAAACAGAAGGGGTAAAAACAATACACAATGGTGTTCCTGAACCGACTTCATGGAGTCTGAATCAGAAGGGGTAAAAACAATACACGATGGTGTTCCTGAACCGACTTCATGGAGTCTGAATCAGAAGGGGTAAAAACAATACACAATGGTGTTCCTGAACCGACTTCATGGAGTCTGAATCAGAAGGGGTAAAAACAATACACAATGGTGTTCCTGAACCGACTTCATGGAGTCTGAATCAGAAGGGGTAAAAGCAATACACAATGGTGTTCCTGAACCGACTTCATGGAGTCTGAATCAGAAGGGGTAAAAACAATGTACAATGGTGTTCCTGAACCGACTTCATGGAGTCTGAATCAGAAGGGGTAAAAACAATGTACAATGGTGTCCCTGAACCGACTTCATGGAGTCTGAATCAGAAGGGGTAAAAGCAATACACAATGGTGTTCCTGAACCGACTTCATGGAGTCTGAATCAGAAGGGGTAAAAACAATACACAATGGTGTTCCTGAACCGGCTTCATGGAGTCTGAAACAGAAGGGGTAAAAACAATACACGATGGTGTTCCTGAACCGACTTCATGGAGTCTGAATCAGAAGGGTTAGAAATAATATCCGACGCTATCCTGAACCGGCGATGGCTTCCAGGAGTCTGACACAGAATGTAAAACATTACGTAACGGTCTTTACAAAGCAGTGGTGCTGTGTTGAGCCAGTATTAGTAGTTGCGCCGAAAGAAACATCCTACCTCAGAGACTTACGTGTCTCTTTGGTGGCGGTGTTAAAGGGATGGGGACAGTGCACGTCTTGAAGAGTGGGAGCGGATGGGGGTGGGGGGTGTAGTCAGACATGGACACGTGTTCAAGAGTAGGAAGGAAGAGTGTAGTCAGGCATGGACACGTGTTGAAGAGCGGCGGATGGAGGGGGTGGCAGTGGAGTCAGACATGGACACGTGTTGAAGGGTTGGAGCGGATGGGGTGTAGTCAGACATGGACACGTGTTCAAGAGTAGGAAGGGAGAGTGTAGTCAGGCTTCGACACGTCTTTAGGAATGGGAGCGGATGGGGGTGTAGTCAGACATGGACACGTGTTCAAGAGTAGGAAGGGAGGGTGTAGTCAGGCATGGACACGTGTTGAAGAGCGGCGGATGGAGGGGGTGGCAGTGGAGTCAGACATGGACACGTGTTGAAGGGTTGGAGCGGATGGGGTGTAGTCAGACATGGACACGTGTTCAAGAGTAGGAAGGGAGAGTGTAGTCAGGCTTCGACACGTCTTCAGGAATGGGAGCGGATGGGGGTGTAGTCAGACATGGACACGTGTTCAAGAGTAGGAAGGGAGGGTGTAGTCAGGCATGGACACGTCTTGAAGAATGGGAGCGGATGGGGTTAGGGGGCGCAGTCAGACATGGACACGTGTTCAAGAGTAGGAAGGGAGGGTGTAGTCAGGCATGGACGCGTGTTGAAGAGTGGGAGCGGATGGGGTGTGTGTGTGGGGGGGGGGGGGGGGGGGGAGGGTGGGGGTGTAGTCAGACATGAACACGTGTTCAAGAGCGGTGGAGGAAGGGGGTGTCAGTGGAGTCAGACATGGGAGCTATATTATCGAAATTGAGCAGAGTCCAGTTACTCTATTACATGAGATGAATGTTACACACGAATGTTACAGACGTCAGAAGAAGAGCTACAATCTTTTTTATTAACTGTAGATGGAGTCCAGTCGCAGAGTCACCACAGGTCGAGTAGCCAGTAAGCTTCACGCTAACCTTAATTTGCCTTAACAAACACAGTTGCATTAGACGTCTCGTGGAAAGTAGGGAAATCGGGAAATACAGCGTGTAAAACGGGATATATTACAAGTTACTTTGATGTTGGTATTAGTGGAACTGTTGATGTTTGTTAATGCAGGAAATAAAAGCTTTACAACTAGTAGAACCTTCTGACTTAAGATGCACAATTTTGTGTTTAGAAAAAATGGTAAGGACATTTGCAAGCTCATTGTATCCAGCATTATTACTTTTTACCGCTGTTGGTCACGAAAGAGAATTCCAGTAGTATTACTCCCGACCCTATCTTGTGAGAACAAAAGAAAGTCAAAAGATAAATGCATGAGTGTAACATCAAAGCAAGCCATTAGCGCCTAGCTACATTCCGCCTACCATAGCTGGAAGACAGAGTAACGCACACCTCTTGAGGATGGTGGAGGTCAACTTGTCGGCATTTGTAGCTCTTTAGTACACCATCTAACCCTCTTCGTTTCTAGCTATCTGATTTATCTCTGTGGATGAAGTCTTAGACGTTGAAACAATGGCATCATTAATCACATTGCTTGCACAGCCTGTGTCACGGCGTCTGTGCCTCCAGAGGATGCCGGCAACACTAATGCCTCTCAGGACTATCACGTCAGCTATATGTCTTAGGTGCCGGTAATTTTGGCTTGGCCGAACTCGAAAGGGACCTCTCTCTTATCTGTATTTCAAGAACTTTGGGACCACTGTATCCACAGGACAACGGTGGTACAAAGGTCTACATCAAACAGTTTATGAATCACTGTTGGTTTGCTACACTGGATCAAGCCAAGGGGTTTGGGTTGGAAGGGAAAAAACTGTTCAAGCATGCAATCCTCGTCATCTTTCATTTGACGCTCTATTATTGTATGTAGCTACATGTTCTTTTCAGTGAAGTGCAATGTTTACCAAAAACACACAGGGTGTTCTCACGGAATGAAACAGAACCGGTTATTGATCAAGCTGCATTAATAATATCTTGAAAATCCCGATAAAGCCAACCAAACACTAACACATTCTTTTCTTGTGAATAATCTATCTTCAAACAAATACCCAATGCACATTCAAGTGCGCTTCATTTCAGTATTCGATGCCTGTTTAACTTTGGTGGAAAGAAGTGTCCAATGGCTGGCTTTCTACACGAGCTCTCCGAGGAGGCAAGTTGAGAGAGTGGACGATGTGGTATTTACAGACGCCAAGTATTGAGTTAAAGGGCCACTCATACGACATTGTGGCAAGCAGAGCCTAAATCTCAGCTTGACTCTTTGTTGTTCCTAATCCACTTATAATGGCGTCTCGGGCACCTGACTGACACACGGCTATTTTGGTAGGATGCCAGTTCAAATTTGGTTTTCATTTATCAGGCCTGTTAATCTCTCTCGTACAGCACTGTGGAGGTGCAAATACTACCAGGAAGAAATAACACGAGCTAATATGGCGGCTGTAAGAAGCATAATGATTACTCTGTGATGAGATGCATCCCAGAATATCCCGAGTTTAACTGTCCAATCAATTCTGCGAAGGAGCTTGCTACAAACAACCCTAACTCATTAATATTACTGGAAAACATCAATCTCCGCTTTACAATTTCATTTACTTCTCCGACTTGTCACAATAACCCGCATCAAAGTTACCCACGTCATAAATGACACTAATGCGAAAAAGTTGAACTTTGATTCTATTTGTGGTTGCCACGTGTATTGGGGATTACCATATTGGATGTCTATTATATCTACACTATTCCACCTAAGCATCCATGCTTTCATTCACCACAGCCAGATCAGTCTAAAGTTGATCTCATGCTTTAACTTCAATGGAACCCTGAGAAAAATGACTGCCTAGTTTCACGGAACGAGGATCTGATTCGAATCCAAACATGAAGGTCACGTGGTCTGTGTTCCCTACGTTGGCTGGGCTACTTTCCGTCTGGTAAAGACGCCGGCAGCAAACAGAAGCAGGAATTGGAAATATTAGCATGTCTTTAGTCCTATCAATGTCTTAAACAGGGAATCGGGGTCTTAATTACTGGGGTAATTCGGCGGGAGAAGGACACGGTCCCTTCAACACCACGATGGGCATAATCCAGCTTCAATCAGAAATCCTACCGCCAGAGACCAAAGCCGAAAATACCAACTGCTTTTTAATCGCTTTGGTTTTGCCATGTGCAAATGGGGTGCGTTTGACTGTCCCAGAGTAAACATACACTCCGGCAGCCATTGCTCGCTCCATCTTTCTTTAATGATTTGGTGGAGTGTAAATTTGCCAAGGATGATGGTGGGATACCCCGAGCTGCCGCAGCGGTGTCGGGTGTCCACGCCAGTGCACAGACGGGAAGGGAACCTGCCCCGAAGATCAGTGATTAAGTTCTCCTGTTGGCAGAGGATCACTCGCGGATTCAAAACACTTCTCCAGTCACTAAAAAAACTCCCGTCTGTCGCCCCGATCGATGGGCAATTAACAGTTCGATCTTCCTCTACTTTAGTGAGCAGCCTCGTGCGCTGTTGAGGACAAGATGAATTCTGAAGAGACTAAAGTCCCTGGTATCATGGTGGCTGACTCTGGTTATAACATGGGGCCATTATCTGCAGAGTAACTGAGACGCATGTGTGAAAAGACGACAATAAAACAACCGACATGACGGAGAGAGGGGAAGAGGGACAGATAGGCATTTGTGAAAAGACGACAGTAAAACAACCGACTGGGTAAAAAGAGGAGAAGAGGTCTGAGATGATGGCGCGAAGAGACGACCAAAAAATCACGACGTGACAGCGAGGGCGAAAAACGAACTGACGCATTTGTGAAAAGACGACAATAAAACAACCGATATGAGGGAGAAAGGGGAGGAGGGACTGAGAGGCAGAGGTGAAAAGAAGGCAATAAAACAACCAACTGGATAGAGATGGGGAGAAAAGGAACGAGAAAACGGGGATAGAAAAACAACAAAAAGGTAGCTTGACAGACCTGGGGAGAACGGAGAAGCA